AATGTTTGTACTTTGTAGTGTGTTACTCAAAAATTGAATCACAGTCCCTTACTTTAGGCCAAATTTACCATAAATGACTAAGAGAGATTTGTTCATTTTAATAATTTTTTTCATACCTATAAATGCTCTCATGTTATGTAGCAAGATTAAGCTGATTATGACAAAAAATGATTTTTAAAAGAATAAAGTTGCCCAAAGCCATGTAGAGTAAACTATACAAGAACGGACACATCACTTTCGGCCGGGCCGCCTATTATAAAATCAACCAATGCAGCAATTGTCTTTTCTAGTATGCTGTTGCAAACTACAATGTCTTTTTCTTGCTTTTGACCATAACAAGTGATCTTTCTTGCTTTCTACAAGATGCAGCATCATTTATAAAAAAATTTTCGGGCACATGCGTAGGCGGAAAAAACTAATGTGATAGCGTACAGTTAAAAATAAACCTTGACAAAAGAGAGTGAAACAGAAATCCACAAAAAGGTAGAAACAGTTGATGTCCAAACAACAATATTATAGACAAAAAGTTTGCTTTTGCAAACTTCTCACTTTTCCAGAGATCATGTTTTAGAAGTGGGTGTGGCTCTCGGTAGGCGGACATATTGAAGGATCACGTTTTGGCACTTTTTGGGGGTTTCTTATGGTTTTTCTCCATTTTATGTCGTGGTTCTTGATTATTCTCGGTATTTTATCAGTTCTTGGTGTTTTAATTGTATATCTGATGTAAAAGGTAAGTAAAATGTGATCACTGGGTGGGGTGTCAATAAAACTTGGTCCAGGCTATATTGGCAAAATTGAGTTGATTACTGTTTAAATACCTTATAGGCATTGAGTCTACAAAGCCTTTCAGGCTTTTATTATGATTATAGGCAGTCTAATTAATTTCCTACCTTAATAAAATAAATTAACGAAGGTGCATGGGAAAAGATAAGTAATGACATAGTCTGGTCACTCCCCTTCTCTGAGATTAGTAATGACACTAATTAGAATGGCCTGATGTAGTTATTGTAATTTTGTTATCATATGCGTATCAATTTGTCCCACCCCTTTGCAGGTAGCGAAGGGGTGGGGCAAGACTATAACAGCCTTAACATTTCTGCTCCTCATATAGTTAATTATTATAAATTTTCTGCTATTATTGAATAATTGCCTTTTGCTCATCTGCATGTATATCCATGATTTATATTTTATCTAGTTATGGCCACAGCTTCTTTAAGTGGACGTGTATTTAAGTCTTCTACTGTGTCATTAACTGACAGTGATACTATAGTGTCTACTCATCCATTAAAATATAAAGATTATACACAGAGTGACTTGGAACAGGCATGCAAAGCTGTAAGGGAGGGATTATCAGTCAGAAGAGCAGCAGAGGAGTATCAAATTCCCAAATCTACTCTCCAAGATCACATTTCTGGTAAAGTGTTAAGTGGTAGTAAAAGTGGGCAGAGATACTTAACTGAGCAAGAAGAAGAGGAACTGGTGACTTTTATTTTGGAAGCGGCTAAAACTGGTTTTAATCATACTAGGAAGGACATAATGTCATTAGTTCAGACCACAGTCAATGCAAAGGGGAAGAATGTTACTATATCAAGTGGGTGGTGGGATGGCTTTAAGAAACGACATCCTCAGGTTTCCCTTTGTATGACTGAACGCCTTGCCAACAATCGTGCAACATCCTGTACTTCTGATGTCTTAAACAAGGAACATTTTCAAAGAAAACTAGAGGAAGGTTATGGTAATAGTCGTTATAATGTGTGGAAGGACAAACCACTGTCGCAGGAGAAATGTGTATCATCATCACACAATATTGGTTCGATTTCTTATCCCTATACTCCTGAAGTTACTCCTCCATCATTTTCAACTTCAATACCTATTTCTTTTGCTGGTACTGATAGTACAGTTTTTGTTGGAATTACTATGTATATTGTACCACAAAGAAAATCTGAGCATGTTACTGCTACATCAAAGTCTACTGTTCTTTCAAAATTCATCAGTCAAGAAAAACCCCAAGCTGCTTTTAAAGTTCCAGTGATGCCATTAAAGTCCTGTGAAAAAATTCTGACCAGTGAAGAGAATTGGAAAGCCATGGAAGAAAAGGAAATGAAGAAACAGGAAGAACTTAGAAAAAAGGAAGAGAGAAAGGAAACACGAAGTAAAAATCAATGCATACTTCATTTCATTGATTCACATATTATGATTATATCTTTATAGATCAAGCTAGAATTCAGAAGTTATCTAAACGTGAGATTAAAGTATTTTTCACACTGTTCATATTCATAAATTTTACATTATAGAAGCTGAACCCTCAAGAAGAAAGGCAGCCAGTACTCAAGCATCATCAAGTATTGGTAAGCATTATATATATTGTATAAATTGATATACTTAGTTGGGGACAAAAGATTTAGATTGTTCATTGTCTACATTTTTTGATGTACATGTAGCTCAATCACAGGAAGATCATTCTTTTAGTGACTGTTGTGTTGAAGGTACATGTTGCACATAGATTTATCACTTACTCTATTAATAAATTAGGCACAGAAATACCATTAGAAAGAAGAGCTACATGCACCACTAGTACTGTATTCTTTGGTGAGTAATTTTTTAAGTCCATTGTTTATATGTATGTAAATCATAAACGCAGGTAATAAAGGTACCAGAAACTCATCTCCAGTTGGTAAATTAATTGCAATAATGTTCATTTATTTTACTTTAATATAGCAGCAAGTAGATCTTCTTTAACTCATTCTATAGGTACTATAAACTCGTCTCCAGTTGGTAAATTAATTGCAATAATGTTCATTTATTTTACTTTAATATAGCAGCAAGTAGATCTTCTTTAACTCATTCTATAGGTACTATAAACTCGTCTCCAGTTGGTAAATTAATTGCAATAATGTTCTGTTTATTTTACTTTACTATAGTAACAAGTGATTCTACTTTAACTCGTTCTAAAGGTGCCATAAACTCATCAGTTGGTAAATTAATTGCAATAACATTCATTTATTTTACTTTACTATAGTGACAAGTAATTCTATTTTAGCTCGTAAAGGTGCCAAAAACTCATCTCAAGTTAGTAAATTAATTGCGATAATATTCAAGCATTTTATTTTACTATAGCAACAAGTTATTCTACTTTAACTCATTCTAAGGGTACCATAAACTTATCAAGTAATAAAATTGACTTAGTTTTATTTAACTGTTTATGTACTAATAATTGTGTAATTACATGTACTTTATGCATGTAGCTCCAAATTTCCGTTGTCAAAAATTTTGTGAAATTTTGATGATCAAGGAAATTTTAATCAAGTGTCATTGTAACAATTGTAAATATTCAATAATTTACTAAAAATATTCAGGAATGCATGAAAATTTTTGGCCACAAACTTAATAAGCAATTAATTTAATTCATTGAATTCCTCCTTTGGCTTAATTTTCATCATTTTTTTGTTCAAAACTGTCTTGACCATAGGGGATTTGACTGATTTCTCTACTCTGTCTTGTTTCAAAGATACTGTGAAACCATCAACAGCTGGTAAATTAATTTGTTTTACAAAAATTAGTGACTTTCCTTGTGTAGAATTGGAACAGTACTGTATTTGTAAGAGAGAAGAATTCGGTAACATGATATTTTGTGACAATGAAGCATGTTCTATTGGCTGGTGGCACTACAGTTGTGCTAATGTTAAAAGAAAACCAAGGGGGTCATGGTATTGTCCACTCTGCATCAAACTAAAATGAAATTTCATTAACCACCTTGTAAATCTCGTTATTTTTAATGATCTATTTCATTCTGTATGTGTGTTTACTCCATCACTTATTGTTTTATGCACTGTAAATAATTTCTTGATTTAAGGAACTGACTTTTTGATTATGTCATATCATTAGAGTGAATAAAAATTGAGAAAAACCATAAGAAAAACCCCCAAAAAGCCAAAACGTGATCCTTCAATATGTCCGCCTACCGAGAGCCACACCCACTTCTAAAACATGATCTCTGGAAAAGTGAGAAGTTTGCAAAAGCAAACTTTTTGTCTATAATATTGTTGTTTGGACATCAACTGTTTCTACCTTTTTGTGGATTTCTGTTTCACTCTCTTTTGTCAAGGTTTATTTTTAACTGTACGCTATCACATTAGTTTTGTCCGCCTACGCATGTGCCCGAAAATTTTTTTATAAATGATGCTGCATCTTGTAGAAAGCAAGAAAGATCACTTGCTATGGTCAAAAGCAAGAAGAAGACATTGTAGTTTGCAACAGCATACTAGAAAAGACAATTGCTGCATTGGTTGATTTTATAATAGGCGGCCCGGCCGAAAGTGATGTGTCCGTTCTTGTATAGTTTACTCTACATGCACTATTGTAGTGCTTGTTAGCTCACTTAGCATGCTTTGTGGGAAACCCTGATGTACATGTGCATGTATATTCTGTGAATGGGTATAGTGTATACTGTTACAAGATATCTTATTTAGGTACATGTATATATAAGCTGAACATCATATGCATTATAAGATTGAGTGTATTAATCTTATTGAGTATTATTGTATAATGACCAATTATTGGATGTACATTGTATCTACATTTGAGCTTGAGTCCTTCAAACTATGTATGAGCTTATGATAATAGGAAGAGTGTGCATGAATGTCAGTGTTAGTTGAAAGTAATGTTTTGTTTCTCTCTCTCTAGTTATTACAAGGTCTTGATTATTCAGATTCAGTTACTGTTCATATCATTCATAATAGTTTACATATGTCACCTGATGTATGGGACAAGAAGTGTTTAGTATGATAGAACAATCAATAACAATATTAACAAAACTTGTATGGCAACTTGTATTACTCTTCATTTATCATAACAATCAAATGTACTGTACAGTGCACATTCTTATTGTTGGGTGGGGCTGGTTAATGAATGGATCACGTGATAAGCTATAATGGACATAAAAGCTGAAGCATAGATGTAGTCTCTAATATCTATGGCTGAAGGTAGGTTGTTTTACAATATAAAAATTAATGATTAATTGGTATTGATCATTCTATAGGTCAGTATCAACTGGGAGTGAGGGTTCAACACACAACTGCAGTAGTAGGAGAGGTCCTGTACTGCTGGGGAGGAGCCCGGGGAGGATTAGATGGGTCGCACGATTCTCCTACAAAGAAACAGTGTACTTCTGCTATTGATGCATTCAACTTATTATCTGGTGTTTGGTCCTCTCAACCTACTAGAGGTAGTCCTCCCTTGGGAATCATGGGAGTCTCCTGTACCACCATTAATAATAATATTTATTATTTTGGTGGTTGGTGTGGCCATGACTTCTGCTTCCATAACAGTTTGAACTGTTTAGACACTTTAACTCTTAAATGGAAAGAAATACAGCCAACTAGTGACAATTTTGTGACTAAGAGAGGCTTTGGTGGCATGATAGTAATGGGAAGTGAAGGTGAACCTCAACAACTACTGGTTATTGGTGGGGAGGCTCCTATATCAACTATTACACAGTATCATCATCAATTTGAGTACAATAAGATGGCTGGTGTTGATGATCTTGTTAGAACTAATGAACAGAATATCTACAACCTGTCCAATGGTGAGTGACTCATTGAATTAGTCATATTGTATCGTATCAATTTTGTGGAGTTAAATAAATTACTTGTATACTTGTGTTAGATGAATAAATAATACTCAGTCTAGTTGTTTCCAAAGCATTATGAGCATGAGTGGTTCTGTGGGTAGAGGTAATGAAGCCAATCTTTCAAGGGGTCTCAGTCTGTTCTCTGTCTGTAAAGCAATGAAGATGATGACAAGCTTCATGATTGATTTGAATGATTGTTTGACTCACGTACAAGCACAAGTAATGCATTAGATTTATTTTTAACTATACGTAACATCAGGCGCTCCTGGTAACATTAATAATGCAGGTTCATGTGACTAATTTATTAACTTTAAATAGTAAGACAACCATTGAAGGTATTGCCACTGTGAGTCAATTGCTTAAGCTCACCCCAATGTAGATGTACTTACAGTTGTCTGATATTTTATAGTAAAAATTTGACATATCAATAGTTACTGATAATTCTCTTTAGGACAATGGACTGTTCTATCTGTCAGTGGACAGTGTTGTCCTCCAACTAGTAGCTTTATAGTTGAAAGGATCACTCATAATAAAGGAATTATGTATGGAGGATCAGTTGATGGTGGTATAGCTACTAACAGTATCTACTTGTTTCAATTATCACATAATACAATAGTAAGTTAACATTTACTGGGTGACTCCAAATGTTGTGAATCAAATTTTTTTCAAATTTGTCTAAACATTGTGTTTAAAAAAATTTTGTTCCACATTCTGTTCTGCATTTTTTTAGTATGAGGATCATAGCAGAATAACACAAATTTTAATTTTAATTTGGAATTTTGAAGGATAAAAAGGAAATTATTGATTGACAAAAATTTTGATAGTATACTATATCCCAACTGAGTTTGACCCAAGAAAAACTGGAATAACTTTTTATAGGAATGTAGGATAAGGATGAGACTTTCACAGGTTCTTAGTCGCCCAATGCCATCACAGGATCTCAGGTCTTGGGTCTCTCAGCCCTTGGGAACCCTGAGAACCAGGTTCTCCCTATAAACCCAATGGCATACCAAAATGACGTTTTATGATAATTTATCTACGTCATAGTTTACATAAGAACATGTGGTCGAGCGCCCAAACTGATAATTCTTCTTTTTAAAAGCTAACAGAGCAAGATCTTCTGATAATGATTGCCTGTATAAAGACTAGAAGAGTGCAATACAGGCCAACTACGCAGCTGTAAAATGTCGGCCATGCTTCTATGAATATCATTATAAAACGTCATCAGTGACGTATACCTACATTTTTCAAACTCCAAGCGGCTGGTGTCAAACTCAGTTGGGATATAGTATAGTGACTACACATGTACCTGTACATACTTATTACATTTATTCACATAATGAAAAAACTAAATGTAGAACATTATGAGCCTAAGCTAGCTAAAAAATTATTATGCATGTACATGTTGTTGTACATTTATTTGTGTTTTTAGAACTGGGAGTGTCTTAATCAAGGAGCAATATCTGGACTGTGGCCTAAGGAGAGAAGGGCTCATGCCAGTACTATTATCAATGGTGTCTCTTCCTCACCTATACTAGTAGTGATTGGTGGACGGGATAATAGAGATCAACTAGTGAATGATTGTTTGTTATTAGACACAAACCAGTACAATTGGATGAAGGTATTAATACATTACACTGCATGACATTATACATGTATTATGCACACAGTGTACAGTAGGGTAATAATGTTTAAGTGGTTAAAATTTAATGAAATAGAGATTTTATATCCTGGTATCCACACATGTACAATAATTAGTCGCCATTTTTCTGAGTAGATTTTGTGTCTTGTATACCTCAAAGAATGTATTTGTATTTGAAGCTGAAATCTATAAAAACAGTTTTACGAAGCCTCTCATCCAGTTGACTGAGTTCAGCACGGTAAAACATCATCTTTTGGTGATTTTTTTTTCAGTTATTGCATCATTGCATAATTAATTTTTTATTAATTTTCATCAAAAATAATTCATTAGTGTTTGTATTTGTGGATTTATTTTAGAATACATTATTGAGCAATGCATAGTTTAAATCAGCTGTTTTGCAAATGTCCAGTGCAAATTTCAGCCAGTGTTTGAACCAGAGACAACAAAACATGGGTCCATGTATGCCATAACTACATGTAAGTACATGTAAATGCTGTCACACAACAATCAGGCCATAATAAGACCACTGAAAGATAAGTTCTTTCCCAAGCAAGACTATTTAGTTACATCATCAACTGTGCTGCTATCTGCCTTCTTTAGTGACTCTGTGTCTTCATTAGAGGATGAAAATAGCAACTTTTAAGTTGTAAATCCAATTCTCAGCACTTTCAAAACACACTAAGTCTCGCTCTAAGTAATCAGACATTTGCTTTTGGGGTCCGCCCATGCTAGTTATTAATTAATTCATAGATATTATACACGGAACAGGATTGGAAACAGGATCACGTGAGCGCATTATGCATCGAAACCAACCTAGTTTTCCGGGAACTAGTTAATTCGTGGTTATTAAGAGTGAAATTTGAATTCCGTAATGGAGATGAATGGAGATTGTTAAAAATACTTTGTGGGACTTTCTAGGCTATACCCGGCGGTTTTATGACAAGGTATTTAGCTCTATAGCTACTTCTTAACATCCTACAGTGGACTAAGACGTTTTTTATGGTGCGCATCTGTTAGTTTGAGAGTAATGGCATCCTGGCTTAAGATCCCTTTGTTTTAGCACGCCATAACTTTTTGAAACATAGATATAAGCACTAATAGATGCCTTATTCCACTAAAGACCCTTGAGAGCTAGCTATAAAGGCTCCTACTAGCCTGCTTTGTCGTCCGATGTAGTTGCTAGAGTCCCACAAACTTTCTCCATTCATCTCCATTACGGTCACCAGTTCCCGGCAAACTAGGTTGGTTTCGATGCATAATGTGCTCACGTGATCCTGTTTCCAATCCTGTTCCGTGTATAATATCTATGATTAATTTTACTATTAAAATTGATTTATTAGCTAAAAATGGACACATTGACTTGTTATTTGTGCGCCAATACACTTTTTTATGCGTTTTTTTAATGCTAAAAATGCACTCTAGATCAAACACTAGTCATACTGTATACGCCATATATTTTTATGGGGATTAAATTTTGTGATTTTCACATTTTGGAAAAATCATAGATATAATACACGGAACAGGATTAGAAACAGGATCACGTGAGCACATTATGCATCGAAACACTCCTAGTTATGCCAGGAACTGGTCCCGTAATGGAGATAAATGGAGATACTTTGTGGGACTCTCCAGACGATATCTAATAGTTTGTAACTAAATATCTGCTTTTATGGTTACTTCTTAACCTCTTACAGTGCACTGTGATGTTTTTTATGGACTGCGTTTAATAATTTTAGAGTACTGACGCCATTGAAATATGGCCTTTGGTTTTGACATGCCATAACTTTCTAAAACTTCTGTTTAAGCACTAATAAATGTCTTAATGCACTAAAGATCCTCAGAGAGTAGCCATAAAAGCTCATACTAGTG